GTTCGGTTAATTATATTATACTTATACTTATACTTTCTTGATTTAAAGCATCGACGTTGTATTTGTTCCTTCTGTTTGTTTTTTGGTTTTTATCTCTGATTAATTTAATTTTTAGTTTCGCTCTGACTAGCATGTGATCTACCCCACATCAGCACCCCTTAAGCTTCTGACATCTTGCAACCAGTTTTTTTATTTATATTCAATTTTTATATGTGGTTTATTTGGTTGTTGTACCTTTCTCCTAGTAATTTCCCGTTACGTTATGTATCCACTTGTATTTGAAAATATTTCCACCTATTCCTTTTTGTTCCCAAAAATTGATTATATGATTTTAATTGTCATTCCTCTCTCCTATTCCCTCCTTTTTCATCACTTGTCCTGTATTATCATTGCAGGCAGCATTCGGCAGATTACGAACAGTATTTAAATCCAACAACCAGGAGATTCGAGCACGCATCGCAAAAGCTAGATTCACCTTCAATCGAATGGGGGCCTTCTTCAAGAGTCACAACCTCTCTCTTGATACAAAAGTAAGAATGCGGCGATGCTATATAAAAATAAAAATAAAAAATAAAAATAAATTTTAGCCTTCTTTCTTCTTGATGTTCCGCTCTTGCACCATCTGATTCTGATAATTTCTCCCTCTCGGCATCCTGGACTTATCGGGTGGTTTCCTCGTCTTTTTCTGTAGGTACTATTATTGGCATCGTACCTACTTCCCTGCATGGCTGTTTAAAGGCAACCATCCGGCTAGACCCTGATCAGATAGTCGATCAGTTTATGGGTTTGTCTGTGCATCCTCTGGTTCCTGTTTTTCTCGAGGAATTTCCTGGTCTTATGGAGTCTTCTTGTAGTCTGGTGGAAGAAGTACCTGGTCCTTTTCTCGGTCACCTCCCTCAGTGGTGTGTACTGGAGCCTTTCTTTGATGGTTGCATTAGTTATCCTTTCTTCCCATGATGTTCCTTCGATGATCCGGTAACATGATGTTTCAGTGGCTTCAAGTTTCTTCCAGTGGGTCTCCGCTATTAAACTCCATACTGGGACTGCATACAACATCACCGACCTAACGTAGGCCTGGTATAACTGAAAATCTTCTTGGCCTTTGATAGGGGACTGCACCTGAAAATATAAGGTAATAATAATAAGTATTAGTTTTTTAGCTATATTGGCTTTTACCTTAGTTTTTTGTGTATGCATCCCGAAGTTGAGTATTCTGTCGAGGTGGACTTTCCGTAATCCGGTGGTCTCGTATCCTATGAAAATACGATGAATTGGGTCTACTCCGAGTTGATTTTTATCTTCCATTTTTCTGTAAATTCCGTAATTTTTCCTAGGTAGTTTTCCATGTTCCTGATTATTCTTCTTTTATCTTCTCCGGATGCATACGCTGCAGTGTCGTCCGCATATAGGGCTGTTGAAGTTCGAGGATCTGTAGGGAGCTCTGAAGCAAAAATATTGTATAAAATTAGAGATAGCGGCGATGCTACGTCTTCTCTGTCCTTTTATATCGTGTTGAATCGTGGACCTTGAACGAAGATATGTGCAATAAACTGGAAGCATTTGAGATGTGGCTATATCGGAAAATACTAAAGATCCCGTGGACTGACCGAGTCACAAATGAGGAGGTTCTTAGAAGGATGAATAAAAACCGAGAGGTACTGACCACCATTAAATCTCGAAAGTTACAATTCTTCTGACCTATTATGCGAAATGAATCCAGATATGCTCTCCTTCAAGCCATCCTGCAAAGAAAAATATTTGAAAAGCGGTGACCGGAAAGAAGAAGAACATCTTGGTTAAAGAATCTCAGAATCTGGTTCAATACAACATCTGTGCAGTTTTTCCGCGCTGCTGCAGATAAGATAAAGATTGCCATGATGATCGCCAACATTCGTAACGGATAGGCACATCAAGAAGAAGAATTTAAATTAAACTTACCAAATACTTTAAAGATAAAAACTGTCGATCAGTATGTGTTGCCAATACTAACATATGAAACTGAAATATGGGTTTTTAACAACAACAACATAGTCTACAACCTTCAAGTAACTCAGAGCTATAGAACGGAGAATGCTTAACATTAAGCTCAGCGATCGAACGCCCAATGAAGAAATAAGAAGACAAACAAAAGACGTTTAGCTCTTTCCTAATTTCTTTCTTCTCCTTGTGTTTCGTTTGATTGTCTTGTTAAACTTTCTCCAATTCTTCTCTCAGTTTACTTAGTTCCTTTCAGTGCTTTTGTGTTCCTTTTTTATTTCTGTTACTTTCGTTTTAAGTTATTACATTTTTTTATTTCTTTAGTAACTCTTGAATAATTTTAAATAATTGGTCGAGTTTATAATCTTGATTGTAGGTTTTGTTAGGTGATTTTTAGGTGGTATATCCGTTGTTTTTTACTTTTTCCGAAGCATCCCTCCCCTTCTTCTCTGGTTCTTTTCCTATTATCTTATGATTTGTAGTCGTCAGAATCCATCGTGTATTTACAGATTTTTTTTTTACAGGATGTTAACAAATTCGACAACTTACGTGGCGCAATCAGCGTTTATTATTCACTTCCGTTGCTTTATAGTCCAAGGGTTATTTTGCAACTGGATTACGAAAAAATACTGAGCCCGCCTCAACAGCTCAGAGATTCGACACCTTATCAATCCTAAACAGCCCCGGTTCTTTTTAATTATATACAGTTCGTTGTTTTTTGTGTTGTCCAATAGATATTGTAATAAGAAATTGTATTACAGATTATTATCCTGGCTTTTTGGCTCACTTCAAGCGCAATGGAGTTGTTATTTATAGTAACGTTTATATGATAAATTTGATTTTTACTATTTTTGCTAAAGATTATACATCTGATCTTCTTGGTATTCATTTGCATACCGTAGGGATTATATATAATCCAGTGGTTCCTAAAGTATGGATTGCGACCCGCTGTGGGATCGTGTTAAAGAGCTGAGGGGCGCGCGAAATTATTTAAAAAAAAAACATTTTTACAAGGATGGTTGTTATCATTATTCGATGCGCAAAAAATAATGCCATTTTTGTGTTTTAAACCAGTTTTTACTTTTGTTTTAATATTAGTCAGTGAAAAGAAACTCAACTCGCATAAATAATATGTTGCAAACAGAATCACACAAAATAGTTTAGTTTAACATTCCATTTTAATAACGTTTGCTTTCATTATTGTTATATCAGCTTGTTGAAAAGAATTTTTCAAAAAAATATTCATTACCCATATGTAGGTTACTCTTTTTACTTGTCACGCCTAGATTAAATTTATTTAAGAAAATTTTGACAGAGCTGCTGTTTTGTATTGTCCAAAGTAGCTTATATATCTGTAAAATTCTTCTTCTTGTTCTTCCTGCTTACATGCAGGCTTTAAAGTCTGTTTCTTAATCAATATTAGCCTCCTAAATTGTTTAAATTATCGCACTATCGTCTTCTTGGGCTGCCAATACTTCTTCGTTCATTGGGTGACTTGCCACATCTGTAAAATAATTATAAATAATGAAAAAAATTATGTAGCTGGCTATAGATGGCGCAAGTAAAAACATTTTTACATTTTTTTTAATTAAACGACTGTACCAAATCTTAGACGGTGTATTAAATCTTCTCCTTGATTTAATAGTATTGTTGAATGGCCAATGAACTGGTTATGATAAGACTAGAAAGATGAAAACTACTTTTTTGTCAGAAGGCGTTTCCAATCTTTTGGAAAACACTGGTATAATATATTTATGTTCTCTAGCAAAAATTGAAGCTCTTCCGATGTTCTTATTAACAGCATAGTATCGTCTACGTATTGAATATAATTTATTACTTCCCAATAATGATTATTCCTTCCTTTCCGCTTGATTAAACTTTCTGACAAAGGGTTTACTACAATCTATAAACAATAGTAGCGATGTTCGCTCATTTACTTATTTGTACATATTGAAGCTATCATATTTTCTGCTACAGTTCTATATTTCTTTATACATTGGTTTTTAATCCATAATTCTTTGAATCTTTCACGAAATCGTAAACTTTTATTTGACATTTCTCAGAAAGTGATGCCTATTATGTATATTTTATTTAATATTAACACTAAAATAATCTAGGTTTTGGTCGTTGATTAGCTTTAATAACTCTCTTGGTATTTGATCTAGATCAGAAGATTTAATGCTTTTAATTGATCTTATTGCATAAATAACGTTTATTTTAGTAATCGTCAATGTTACGTCTCTGACTGACGCCACTGACTGTTCGTAGAAGAATTTTCTCGTCTCTGGTCTTACTATAATACCTGTATGTATCCCTTCCATCAGCGTAATTTGTATTCTATTTCCATATAGTACAGTCATGATCTGTCTAAAAGCAGACCATAATGGACATTTTCCATAGAAGCCTATTTTTTTTTTGGAATCACTTCAGGATGTACCTTGTATCGATATTTACGATATTCGCCAGTAACAAACCTTGTACTTAATATTTTATTTCATACAATCTGAAAATAATCGAGAATTTTTGCATTTTGCGCCCATAGTTTCGCCTATAATTCGAGAGATATTGCTCCTACAAAAAAAACCAATTTTTGCAATTGTTCATAATATTTACCTAACCATAAATTAAATATTGTTTCAAAAATGGCAATAATTGGAAAAAAGTGCAAAAAATGGAGTTTTTCCTTTAAATCTTTCAAACTCCTTTGAAAGTCAAGTCATCTTATTGTTATTGGAAGCAGACATTGGACAATTTATTTATATATTTATATATTCAATCTATATATTCAATATATATTGAATATATAGATATATTCAATCGATAATTAATTTCACTCAAGACCGAAGAATGACGTAGATCATGTATTTGTGCTACTCTGCGTGAGGATGTATGTACCTGGATCTTCAACGAAACTTTGCATTAAATCTAAAGTGTTATTGTAATTTATATTACAGACTACATACTCAAGTTCGTTTTTTTATTATATTATTGTTACCCTTAACTTTTGTCTTGTTCTTTTTCAGATTATGAAAGCAATTATTTTGATTTTATTGATGTCAATATGCACTGTACATAACTATAATATCCTCATAATTAGCCCAATGGCTTCTCCTAGTCATTTTATCCTTGGAAACGAACTAGGTAGAGGTCTTGTAGAAGCTGGACACCAAGTAACAGTTGTTAGTCCTTACGAAGATAAAAATCCTTTAAAAGGCTATAAGGATGTCGTTTTAACAGGTTTAGCAAAACAAAAAAGGGGTAAATATATTTTATTTTTTACAATATGTTGGTATTTTATTCATTTCAACAAGACGAAAAGCTCGTGTTCGTTCGGAAAAATATTCCGATAAGATTTTTTGCATATTCACTTTTGTGAGATACCTCAAAATAAGGTCCAAAATTTTTCAATGTTGAATTTTTTAAACAAGTAAAAAATAATTTTTTTCGGCCCAAACATTTTTTTAATTATTTGGGTCATTCTGAACAAAATTGGTCTCCTGTAATTTTTCTGTAAACTCGATGGTTTTCGAGCTATAAACAATTTAAAACTGACAAATCAGCAAAATCGCGATTTTCAAGGCTCAAAAACACAACTAAAAAATAATATTTTTAAATTCACCAAGAACCTAAATTCAAGTTCAAACCTTAATCATTTTTCTATAAGTATTTTGGGCTTATTTAATTCTAAAACATTTTTTTAAGCGGTAATGAAGCGCTTTTGGGGCTTAATACAGTAAAAAATGTTAGGTTATGTTATAGAGTACAAAATATTACGAGTGAAATAAAACGCCGAATATGCAAAGAAAATCAAATTTTTATGTAACAAGACAACAAATATAAAATTTTACGAAATACAGAAGGGTGAATTATATGAAAAACTTTATAAGGTAAGTCAGGGTAAGTGGGAATCTGGGGCAAGTGCGACTATTCAATATCGAAATTCAACCAACGATAGTAAAATAGCGAAATCTAGTGTAAACGTTACTCAACTTCATAACCATGTGTTCTGTATACGGTGGAGCGACGTTACCTACAGTACATGTGAGAGTTGAGGTATTGAACATATATCTGCAAAAATCCACTTGATTTGTCAAATTTGCACTTACCCCAGTGTTCTGCAAAAGCAAGATTTTCAAGGTAAGATTATTAGCCGTATTATTTTAGTGTAAAAGTGCACTTCGTAAATACGATAAACGTGTTTCAATATACATAACCCTACTTAGAGGCCACGTACACTAAAGTTCGCACTTGCCTCAATAAAATTTTATCGAGGCAAGTGGGAACTAGGAATAATTAGTTACGTTCCCACCTGCCCCGATTAAAATTTTAATGATTGACTCTTTTTTAGGTACTACCATGGTCCGCATTTATCAACGTAAGACGGAGAGAGCGACATCTTATAGTAAGGAACTGCAGAAAGCACTGGAAGATATCAGATCTGGAAAAACAACAATACATACAGCAAGCCGAAATTATGCAATTCCAAAAACAACATTGCACAATCATTTAACTAGTGTCAGAGGAAAAAACAGTGATTCATTAGGTAGAGGACCAGTTATTCATGCCGAACATGAACGCAACTTAGCCGAAGGATTGAAACTCTAGAAACATGGGGCTTTGGATTGTCAAAACGTGAAGTTCTGTTGATTGTCTCTGATTTTGTTACACAAAATAATATAAGAACGCCATTTAAAAATAATATTCCTGGTCATGACTGGTTAACCGGCTTTAAAGCAAGATACAAGTTATCTCTCAAGAAACCCCAATTGGTTGATTACGCAAGGAAGAAGATACGTGATCCATTTCCCATTTATAAATATTTTGAGATCTTAAAGAACACTCTTGTTGAATTAGATCTTAATGATAAGTCTAAGCAAATATGGAATTTGGACGAGACCAGCTTATGCGTTGACCCATCCCGAGTGAAGGTGCTAGGAGCCAAAGGTAAACCGTGTTCGCAAACTACGAGTGGTCCAGGTAAGGAGAATGTAACAATATTATCTGCGACAAATGCATTTGGAGACAAAGTACCACCATGTATTGTATTTAAAGGAAAGTTCGTATGGGACTAGTGGATGGCAACACAGGACCCAGATAATCTTGATATAGTATATGCAGCTACTCCAAACGGCTGGATGGAAATGGACGTTTTCGTCAATTTCTTAAAAAATACATTTTTGAATGCTGTCGGACAACAAAGACTACTATTATTGATATATGATATCCGCTATTATATGGAATATCGGAATATCCATATTGATATATGGATATTACGATATCCAAGAAATAAAAATGCCGAAGCGAACATTTTCTGAACATGTGGTATGGTACAAAGCCAGAAATCATCCAAAGCGGATTTCGGAAAACGGGAATATTCCAATACAAAAATGACGTTGTAGAAGAAGATAAATTTTACCCCGATGCCTATAAACGTTGAAAGGAGATAAATAACAAAACTGCGAATCAAGGTGACGAAAATATGGAAGCAACTTTAGAAGATTTACCTCCATCGGTTTCTTTTGAAGACTTGCTTTTGAAAACAGTCAAACCAATGCCTCGTTTGGAACCAGTAAAGAAAACACGAATAACTCCTTTTGCCGAGGTTATAATCAGTAATGATTATTACCAAAAATTACAAGAAAAAGCAAACAATACTATTGAAGCAGTGCCTAGCACCAGTAGGGTAAAGTATCAGCGGAAAATAAAATCTAGACGACGAAAACAGCATAGTTCCAGTTCTAGTGACGAGTTATCTGATATAGATCCGCCGTTAGATGATGATTCGTTAGATGAGCTATCTGATATATATCTACCGTTAGATGATGATTCTTTGGATAATGATTCGCTAGATGATTTGGTTGAGGACATCCTAGATGACTATATGGGCAACAATATTGAAAATTTAAAGAAAGATTTTGAGTCTGGACAGTGGCTTGTAGAGAAATATACCGGAAAGAAATCTGTGAAACACTTCATTGGAACAATGGTGGGATTTGACCAGAATTACAACAATCCAATTGTTAAATCCAGGAAGAAGAATAACAATTATACATTTTACTGGCGAGATAATTATGACACTGAAACTGGAAAAAGAGGAAAATCGTTCCAGTTCAGTGTATCTTTTAAAGGATTGAATTTTGTATGCTAGGAAATTTAGCTTTTATATTTTGTTCTCATCAAAAAATTTTGGACTTTTTATAAAAATAAATATTACTGACACTAAATTTTTTATTTCTTATTCGCAATTGCCCCATACACAGTGAAATACTCAACACATATAATAGCCACATGCTATTCCCACTTGCCCCACAGTCTGGGGCAAGTGAGAATATTAGATCAGGTAACGAAAAAAAATTGTATTTGATAATGTTTGCATAATTAACACGTGTTACTAAATCAGTACTAACTAGAGACTTCTAATGACTTTATATACTAATTGTGAATATTCTAGAATGCATACTTCAGTTTTAATAGTGACATGAACATCATCTCTAGAAAAATGCGTTCGCTCTTACTCTGACTTACCTTACTTTATTCATAATCCTGTTAATTGTTAGAATAATGTGTTTCTACAAAAGCAGGTGAGTGAGGTTCCAGTAAAATGTCATAGATGGCCACATGAATATGAGTGGACCACGGTATATGCGTATCCCAGGTACAACAATTTCCCCTATGTATTTTGTTTGCCAACTATCATTTATTTAGTTATCTTAAAATTTTAATTCATTCAGGTCATAGATTTGGTTTATTTTTTTTATTAGATTTTGGAGTGCCCCACTGCAGTTAATTAGTACCAACGTATCATTGGTGTTCCACATATTTAATGTTATTTACGGTTGTGCCATTTATGTTAATGCCTTGTGCTATCTCTATCAAGCGTTCCTTAAATATTTTTTATGAATATAAGTTCAAACGTATAAATGAAAATATACAGCGTTTTCTCTTCTTCTTCTTAAAGTGCTCTCTCCTCAGTGGAGGTTGGTTGCTACAATTGCAAACACTTCCCTATCTTCAGCTGTTCTTATTAGCTGTTCAAAATTTAGCCCTGTCCATTGTTAAATGTTTCTTAGCCACGATAGTTTTTTCCTTCCTAGTCCGCTCTTTCGCTCGATCTTTCCCTTCACTTTTAAGCGGAAAACACACCCAAGCGATCACGACGCGATGGCGTTTACGATCGCGATTTGATTCGTCTGAAAAAAACAAGGGAATCAGCGCATCCTCATCACGATCTACTGGCGATAAAAAGAATTTTCGCAGCGTTCTGACGGCAATCGCGGCGATATAATTAATTTAGAGCCAAGAACGCAGTAGGTTTCGTTTATCACTGGTCGCGTCGATGCAAATAAAAATAGATATCGAAAAACCTATTGAAATTGTAAAAAAATATATGATATATTGTTCAACCTGTCCCATCCAGATTATAAGAATATACGTATTGAAAATAAAATGGTTCTGTAGCATCAACTGGTTCTCTAAAATGTTGTTGTTGTTTGATGATGTTTTGTTTGATCCAAGAGTTCATTAAAACTTTCAAAACTCATTTTAAAATATATATACAAACTGTTTTTATCTCTGTAAAGGTCTGGGTATAATTTATGAGATTTTCCTTGTTGCTTGCGCCTTAGGTTAATTAATTATTTATATTTGTTTTAGCTATTTCTCCCATGGACATGGTCCATATGAATCAATTTTCAATAAGTAGTCACTTTGCTGAAGTTGGCAACCAAATTGTCAATAGTACATTCCACCATCCGAATTTTAAGCAGCTGATTAATTCGAACGAAAAATTTGATGTATTAATTATACAAAACTTCAGAACAGATGCTCTTAATATTTTACAATGTCATTACAATGCACCACTGATTGTTTTTAGTATAACTGGACCAAGCTTTTGGGTAAATCCCATAGTTGGCAATCCTCTAGAACCGTCATATTTTCCAGACTTTTTCTTAGAATATTCAAGTAATATGAATTTTTGGCAAAGAACGGTTAATTCACTTTTACTGCTATTTAACTATGTACATAAACATTTATATTTTATCCCGCAACAAAAAAAGTTCATGAGCGAACATTTTCCAAAATGCACTGATCAGGATGCAGCGTTCTATAACGCTTCACTGGTGTTTGTCACAGCTCATGAAAGCGCCAACCAACCTGTACCTCTAGTACCTAATATGATCAATATTGGTGGTCACCATATTAAGCCTGCAAAAACATTACCGCAAGATTTAAAAGAATTTATGGATAAAGCCAAAGAAGGAGTGGTGTACTTCAGTCTTGGTACAAATGTTGATCCTACTAATATGAAGCCAGAGCAATTACGAGCCATTGTCAATGCTCTGGGGAAAATAAAACAAAAAGTTCTCTGGAAATACGGTGGAAACGTAACAGATTTGCCCAAAAACGTTCAATTAGGAAAATGGTTTCCACAATCAGATTTATTAGGTAAGTGATAGCAACAATTAATAATATTTTAATAAGTCTCATGTTATTTATATGTATACATTTACAATATTTATTTAAATACATCAATATCGTCATCGTCAGAGCAACATACCCTAACGTCATTTTTAACGAATATGAGTTATGTCTATTATTGGATTCGTATTGAGAAGGCGCATCTACCTTAACCCTCCGTTAGTCGCTAGGAAAAACTGAGCATCAAGAGTCGCTACGGTGTCTGAGACCGACAATTAAAAAAAATAGTTTTTAATATAAAATTCATACAAATATTTTATATTGTTTATAGGAATAACTAAAAAATATTTTTGAAAATATTTTATTGAAAAAAAAACAGATACAAAATGAAAAACACTAGTATAACAATATATTGTGAATATTGTTCTGAAGCTATTTTCTTGTGGCATTTTAAAGTAATTACTATTTAAATGGGAATAAGCCACAATTAAAGGTTAAAGTAAGTTTATTGATGTTTTAATTTTCACATCGGATATCGTTCTCAAAATACAAACATTAGTTTGTATAACGTACTATACAATTTTCTTGTCTTGTTCTAACATTTTACGGTAAAATAGCCTTTTTTCATCTAGTAACGCTATATTTTCAAATAAACGCTAAGGTATTACTTCCACTTTCTTTTTTCTCATCTGTCATATCTTGTTCCGAATTATTTCCACTATCACCACCTCAATTTGATCTATTTCGCTTTCACTTTCCTCATCATCAAAATAATTTCATCGTCGGTAGGAATCATGTCCATAATTCCAACAAGCGCTGGAATCAAAGTTGTTTGGCTTTACAGGACATCTATAAATAATAATTGACAAAAACTTATCGACAAAATGTAATAATAACATGATAAATATTTACCTGTTCTGCAAGTTCTGCAACAAATAATAGCTACACCGTTAGTCGCTACGGACTCTGGCACCGAAAATAACTATAAAACTCACACAACTGTACCCAGGAATGTAAGAATGTACACTAAGGGCCGGTTCTACAATCCAGGTATAAATTGGAGAATAGTAATTCTCAGTATAACTTATACTTGAGTTTATTCCGAGTATAACCTTTCGAGCGTTCTACATTGTGAAATCGACAGCGGAATAGTTATTCTGGGTATAACCACAGAACACTAAGATAAAACGAAATAGTAGATCTGATGTCTTCAAAATTAGTTCAAATTGTTATTGACAGCGACATTTGGCATTTGTCATAACTGTAAAATTTGTTTACAATTGAAAGGAATTGAATAATTGATTCGCTTTATCTGGTATTTTATCTACGTTTATATTATTATACTTTTCAAAATTAATATAAAATGAATAAAAAAAGATGTAAAATTTCCTTCTTAAATTTTTTGTTATCATCACCTGAGATTAGTGTTATAATAACCAAAATTATGTAAATATATCTATATAGGTATACTCCACATTTTAAAAAAGTATAAATATTGGATTACAAAATAAATAATTTTAGTTAAAGAAATGTTTATATAATACAGATTCTTGAATTACAGTCTCTGTTATCAAAACATTAAAAAATATATTGCCTTGCCTTGGTAAGATCAAAGAATATAGACGCTAAGCGTCTATATTCTTTGGTAAGATTATACCTATACTAGGTATACTAGTCATATGTGTAGACGTTATTACATTACATACATATCCTAAAATTTTAGAATTGAAATAATAAATGCTTTCTTTTTCCTTTGGATTGCCTAATAAAATTTCCTTTGGATTTACAATCTAAAATGTTTGTGCAATATCAAAAATTTTATTTTATATATAAAAACAAACAAAGTGGGGTTAAAATATTACAGATTTGACAACCCCTGACCGACCAATAGAAATGCAGTATAAATTTATACTGGGTATATCTGCTAAACTTTGGAGGGATAAAGTTATTCTACAGATATACTCCGATTATCTTATTCCTAGTTTATTCTTTGCTTGTAGAACACCATTAATGAAGTTATTCCAAGTATAACTTTATTCTCAGTATATACTAGCATTGTAGAACCGGCCCTAACACGAGTTTGATTGATAGGGAGAGGTACAGAAAGTAGCGATAGAAAAATAACAGTTATTTGTAAATCCCGAATGAATAATTTTGTCGTCGGTGTGTGAGACCGATAGCGACTAACGGAGGGTTAACAAATGTAACAGCCCACATTGTCATTTGGTCAGTAACACCATATCGTCAGTTATTTCCATGCTTCTGTTCATTATTTGCTGTGATCTGAGTTTTGCATCGAGATTTTAGAATTTTGGTAAGTAAAAAGTTTATTTTATTAAATTTCTCACATTTTTATAAGAAGTCAATTAATTTTGATATATTTTCTGTTTGTGATTGTCGTAATTTCATTTATTTTAAAAAGTTAGTTTGTAATTTGACATTACGGGAAGTTACATACAACCTAAATTGACAATAAGGTATGTTGTTTGTTTAACATTGTACGACGTTATTGGCAGTTAAACAAAATCTAAATTATACAGTGTGTTGTATGGTATATTAGAGATAAAGAAATATTATAGTAAGTTTGATTGATTGGTTTTTAAATTAATTATTGTATATTATTCATATTAAATCTCTAGCTATATTTTTAATAATCCAATTATTCTTTTTGTCTTTACAAAACATTGAAATATCTTGTGGTAAAAGATGTCTAGTGGAAGTGATTACAACCCAGTTTCGGATGAAGACAATTTGTATGATTCCGATGAACTAGTGGAATGTTTGCAGACGTATAATCAGCTTAAGCCCTCAGCTTAAACCCTAATTTAAATCAAAACGTTGAAGATATAATGACTACTGAGTTTGTTTACATGGACAGAAATACTAGTTTAGAAAAAGAAGTCAATTCGTCAGCTGATTCTGAGATAATGAATGTAAATTCTCTCTTCGCTGAAACCTTAGACGTTAACTCAAATATTGTTCTGAAGCTATTTTCTTGTGGCATTGTAAATTAATTATTATTAAACTGGGAATAGGCCACAATTAAAGATAAAAATACGTTTATCGACGTTTCAATTTCCACTTTGGAAATCGTTCTCAAAATACAAACAGTAAATTAAACAAATTTTGTTTTTTGTTACATAGTGAAAAATTCTTCTAATAATTTAATTTTATCTGACTCATTTATATTTTATATAAATATAAATGAGTCAGATAAAATTAAATTATGCATTTTAAAGTCGTCTACTTTAAAATGCATAATGTATGTCTGAATTGTCAATATAAATGAGTCAGATAAAATTAAATTATTAGAAGAATTTTTCACTATGTAACAAAAAAACAAAATTTGTTTAATTTACTGTTTGTATTTTGAGAACGATTTCCGAAGTGGAAACTGAAACGTCAATAAACGTATTTTTATCTTTAATTGTGGCTTATTTCCAGTTTAATAATAATTAAGTTAATTTAAATATTATACAAACATCACCTAATGCTAATAATATAAATAATGCAGAGAAAAATACTGAACAAAAGAAGTCTTAATATGCCTCGAGAAAAAGGAGAAGAATATATCGGATTGCGTAGGTTAGACAAAGAGTCTACAAACACAATTGTCCAAGATGTCAAGCGTGGAGCAAGGCAAATGGGAGTTCGTTGTAATCTTCAGGGTTGTGGAAGATATAAATTAACCAGGAAGTGTTACTCTATATCTGATGAGAAGAGAATTATTTTGGTCTTGATCTTAGGACAGTAAAAAAATGTACGTTCGTACTTTAGTTGAAAAGAAAAACCCGAAACGTATCAGGGGAGGACCAAATTCTAGATGAAAGGTATCCCTTTTTTATTTTCTCAAAACGAAAAAATTCTTGTTTGCAAGAATATGTTTTTGTGTACATTAGGATTAACTGAAGATGAAGTGCGTCATTGGCTCAGTAAAAGCATGAGAGTAGAAATAGTGACAGGGATGAGCCAGAGCCATTTGAAGACATAATTAATAACGTTTAAAATAACTTGCAAATAAATGACGTAATTCGCAAGTAAGTGGGGCCGATTCTGGTCAATCAAGGCGAGCTAGGTGTAATAGGAAAACTTTTTATCCAAACTGCCAAAACGTTCTTCACATTATTGACGCAAAAATTCTAAAAAGCAATATTTACAGACAGATATTCGGTCTAAAACTCATCTTCATGAGATTTATGTTAAACAATGCACGGAGGACAATGTTGCACATATAAGCAGAGCTCAGTTTAGTTATACTCTAAAAACATGAATATTACCATTTATATTCCACGAAAAGACATATGTGACAAGTACTATGCTTATAATTGTAAGAATATCACAGAAGAAGAGTATTTGAAGCACAGAGCTCAAAAAGACGAAGCTCCAAATGAGAAAACTGAAGACAAAAAGAAGGCCATGAATGGAGAATGTCACACAATTTGCTGTGACCTTATGAAAGTCCAAACCATACCATTTGTTAGGGCCAGCGCAGCATATTACAAGTTAAAATTAACTGTCCATAATTATACAGTATATAACTTGGCAACCCACGATGTTATGGCGTATTGGTTTGACTAAACCAACAGTAACCTTAGTGCTTCAACTGCTTCTTTTTTGGTGGATTATACATCACAACTTTTAAAAATCTTTCTTAAACCAGTGGTGATATACTCGGACGGCTGTAACTATCAAAATAGAAACTCAGTTCTTTCAAATGCGCTCTTACATCTGAGCATGACTTCAGGAGTGACCATCACTCATAAATATTTAGAAGTTGGCCACACATACACAGAAGGCGACTCGGTACATAGCCATATCGAGGCTACTTTTGAAGACTTAGATGTTCTTCTACCTAGTCAATTTGTGGAATTATCAAAAGTAGCTCGAAAGAAAACTCAGCAAGTTGATCCTTACAAAGCTCAACAGGTGGATTTCGAATTGTTCAAGGATTTCAATACATCAATAATATATCCTTCCATCCGACCGGGAAAGAAACCTGGAGATCCTACTGTTACCGATTTAGGAAT